GTCTCTCATCATCTTTGTGGCTCTCCTCTGGACCTGCTCCAACAGCTCCATATCCTTATGCTGGGGATCTCAGAGCTGAATGCAGTATACCAGGTGGGGTCTCAGGAGAGCAGAGTAGAGGGGCAGAATCACCTCCCTCGACCTGCTGGCCATGCTTTTTTTGATGCAGCCCAGGATGCAGTTAGCTTTCTGGGCAGCAAACACACATTGCCGGCTCATGTTGAGCTTCTCATCAACCAACACGCCCAAGTCCTTCTCGCTCTCAATCCATTTTCCACTCAGCCTGTATTTGTGCTTGGGATTGCCCCAACCCATAAGCAGCACCTTGCACTTGGTTTTGTTGAACTTCATGAGGTTCACACAGGCTGACCTCTCAAGCCACTGAAGATGATCAAAAGGATTGACCTTGTACTTTTCTGGATAGTGGAAAGATATTTTAAATATAAGCCCAGGAAAAACTATACCTATCAGAGGTTCCTCCTCTGTGTTCTTCCTTTTCTCCTTCCAAAATTGCCACTCACTCTACGACCATATGATTTGACCCAAACAGACAGAAAACAGGATACTTAGATTTCAAAAGTGAAATGCAATAAATACTTTCTGCAGTATCTATAAACTACCATGATTAAATTACCCTGGTTAATCCAACTGAGAGATCTCTAGATGGTATTACAATACTAGTTTTAAAGTGCGGGAAGACTCTAGTTGCTTGAAAATTCCCTGAAATGTTTTAAAAGTATCTTTCTCCTAGTACCCACATAAAACTGGACAACTGTGGCCCCAAAAAACTGCAGGTAAAACCTAGGTAAAAGTCCTAGATTTTCTTACACTGTAAGGGAGGAAGGAAAGAACTACCAGCTATTTGCATAATTCCTGCAGGAATCAAAAGGTAATCATGTTTATATATGGCAAAGGACATGCAAGAATAGCAGGACTGTCATCTTACCAAAAAGCAGTCCTTTCCAAATTCTGCAACTGCCCACTGGCACACAAAATGGATGTCACAGTGGTGGAGGTCCCATGAAATCTGGATCTCACTGTACCAGCTGTTCAGAAACATATGCTGATGACTAGTCCACTGTAGAGTACCGCAAGTTGTAAAGAACACCGCATTTCAAAGGGATTAGAAATTCCTCTATCGACTTTTTTAAATTATGGAAAAAATATTTCTCTAGATTTCTTTGGTTAGCCTCATTTAATTTCTCTAAACTTCTATAAATGAGTTACTACAAAATTATAGAATCCTAGAACAGTTTGGGTTGGAAGGGATCTTTAAAGATAAAATGTTCACATACCGCAATTTTTGGTTCTTTAACAACAATGGCAACATTGGCAGAGGTTGTACAATAGTCAGACATTCTCAGCCAAAATAAACACCATTCCAAGATGAAGTGTGCCACTATTACTTAGTTCAGTGGCAGCTAAAATTTAATATGAAATGTGATGTGGCCACTTGGCTTTATGTTCTATTAATTTTAACTATTTGCAGTAAGGAATGCTGGAAGTATAACTCTTACCACAAATTGCTAAGAGGATAATAATGGGCATAGTTTAAAAAATAGAATTCAATTTCAAAACCACACACACTTGGGTTACCATAAAAACACTTACTACAAATTCAGCTGAAAGTATCTCTTTAATGGTAATTTATGGTTCAAATAAAGAGGTAGGATCTCAAATAATTCTGCATAAAATGCAACACATAGTAGATCAGCTCTCTCAAATTAATGTATGGTGAATTTTAGTTTTGATATAACATTCCATAAATCAGTATGGACTGGACCATTAATAGCAAGGTAATATAAGCAAAAATGTGACTTAAGAGAACAATTATTTTAAAATAAAATTAAATTATGATGAAAAGTAATGTTCGTGAGCTTCTTTTCAATTCAATGCTATACAAAAGTAGCTTGAATATTAAAAGTAGAATTTTTATAGCAGTCAAAAGCTCCATATTCATGCTCAATTTTAAGTTAAACTTTTGAAAAAAGGTAAAATTCTAATGTCACAAAAGAAACACTTGTGTCATTTTGGAGACCTATGCAGTTGCATTTACTGCTTTTACAGAATTTCGCACATCAGTTTGGCTCTAAACAGATCTCTGTGCCATAATTTGTTTTACACTAAAATTCTCTATGCTGTCAAAAAAAAAAAACCCAAAAAAATCAGAAAGAAATATTGTTTATTCTTGCTATGAAAGAAAAAAAGGAGAAAAAAAAACAACCAAGTATTATCAAATATCATTGCATTATATCAAATATAAAAGTACATCTTGTCCTGTTTGCAACATGGGAGATACACTTCACTGTTTGTAAATAACATGGCCAAATCAAGAAAAACTGGTCCAGAATTGAGCAGCAATTTCAAGTTCAGCACTTCCCAGGGATATTCTCCAAGCTAGTCATGACCATATGTCCCCAGTGAAGGATGTTCCTTTTGCAGCATTCCTGTTTTTCAAAGATCTCATATCTCATCACAGTATTCCCATAATATTGTTTTTAATTTAAAAAAAATACATGCTTCTTCTAATTTTCCAGGAACATATCAATTTTTTCCATTGATTTAACTACTGTATTTTACAAATGTAAAATTAGTTCATCTAGTCCTATTTCTAGTACAATAAAAAAGCTTATCTGCATGTCAAAGGTTCAATGACTTCATTCTATAACGGGAACACTAACACAGATCTATAATTCTTTTGCAGTCTCTCTTCCCTTCATTAAAAATGACACCACACGACTTCCAAATAAAAAACAAAGATTTGGGTGTTGAGGGGCTGATAAACTCTCTCTTATTGTACCTTTAATTCCTATTTCTCCTTGTTTCAGATTAAAAAAAAAAAAAAAAGAAAAAAAGGACTAGAACAGATTTAAGTGTGCTTTTTTGAAGGTCTCTGAATCCATCTCTCTATTCATAAATTTGACAAGGGAGGGTAGATGTAATTCACTTATATACATACAGGGAGCAAGAATACTCCCTGAAAAAACAGGCAGCATATACTCAAGTCTGGTGCACTCTCTCTGGAAAAGGGAGGGGAAGAAAATGCACAGAAGTGCACACAGAAACGAAATCTGCCTGGTTCCTTAATCTGGAAAAACAGAATTATCCTTTCACAAGATGGAAACAAGATCAGTCAAGCAGCCACTTTTTACATGAGACTGGGAAAGAGGGAAGAAGGACTGATTTTTCCACTGATATGCTCTTCTTTAAGAGGAAGCACACAAAACAAAAATCCAATACACAAAAAGGTCAAGTTCACACATCTCCTTATACAATTTTCTTATGCACTGTTTATCTTAGTTCCATTTACCCTCCCTGAAAACGTTCATTTCTTTTAACCTTCAATCATTATCATACGTTCAATGTCTACGATTTTTTTATTGCAGCCCTCTAAGCTGCTCTCACAGGATTGGGTGCTGCAGCTGAGGTATCACTCACATCAAACATAGCAAAATAATTATCCTCCTTGATTACACATTTATCTTTCATTTATCCTTTTGGAATTGACATCACATTGAAATATACTCCTAACAAATGAGTCAGCAACCCCCAGGCCTTTTCTGCAGGGATGATACTTAGCCACTTATTCTCTTTTTTACTATATTTATTTCTTCTTTCCCAAGTGCAGTTCTTTGCATCTGTTGACTTTTTCCCTTCTCAACTTATTATGGTCAGCACATATAATAATTCTCTCTTTTAAATTCCTTTCAGCCCCACTCAGCTTCATTTGACAAAGCTGCAACAGCTTCCACTGTTTATTTTATTAATAGGTTTAAGGTGCACTCTGAATTCAACCTATGAGAGCAAATACATTTAGTAAGATAGAAACAGCTTGGGGGAGATGACTAGTAGGCAAAGACAAGATATTCTCATTAAAAACAAACAGATGGGTGTTTTCTATAATGTAAAGAAAACATGGGTGACATTCAGACAGTGCTCTTCAGAGTAAGAATGACTATCATTAATGCAACAGAAGATACAAGGGAAGTTTTCACTTTTAATGTCACTAGAATAAGAACAAGCATTCTTCATCAGGATGTGTAATTTGAGTCTTCATTGTGAGCACACACTAAGAATTTATTCAAATTCTTAATATGAAAGGCCTCCATTTATAAAACATTTAGGGAGCATAAACTTCAAAGCAGACTCTGGAGATTGCAACTTGAAGAACTGGGATAGAATTTTAAACCCATGTGATAAAAGAATGCTTTAAAGCAACTAGACTGCTAACAGTTTCTTTGGTAGAAGGAGTGGGAGAGGGACCTACAAAGGCACTATTAGATAACAGCAAGAAATTCAAAGCAAAAATAACAGGGGATGAAAGAAAGATGAAAGTGAGTTCTGTGAAAGTCTGCCATAATATTTAAGCTTAAAACTGTGTACTATTTTTGTTGTCTGGAAGACAAACTTGAGTTGGTATAGGAATTATACTTCTTAAACGCTGGTAAACACACTTGGAAAGAAACATGCTTTCTTGTTTGCTTTTCATGTGTTTTATACGGACAAAGCATTCTTCCATCACAAAGCCAGCAACAGAAACTTGACAACAAAGTTAAGATTACAGCCACATAGAAACAAACTGCTGAGTGTAGGGAGCTGTGCCTTCTTTCACATTCATGCACCAGACTCACTCAAGTTGTTTTTTTCTAGTTATATCTAAATGCTTCAGGCCTCTCTTTCCAGTCTGAAAAGTTTTGCTGCACGTAGGTTAAGAGAGACGCTCCTTCAGCACTGCAGCACCACTGCAAAGCCTGGGAGCTGAGGCCAACCTAGTTCCTCTTTTAAGCATGTGCACACACTAATTTTAACATCAGCATAAAAAAAGCCTGTATAGACCAGACTTTAAGCTGAACCAGAACTAAAGACCACCTTTTGCTCAGCAAGAGGATCAAAACAAAGCCATCAAACATAAAGTACGAAACAAAGAGAATTGTTAATGTGTCAGACTTGATTGCTTATTCTAAATCAAAAAAAGCAAACAGCAGATTTTTATTTCTTACCTCTCTGACTTCATGGAGTTGACCAGAACGCTGGCTCTTGGCTCTTCGAGCAGCTGCAGGTGATTTGTGATGTGTGATGGTTACAACAGTTGGCCCACTTTGATTCACATGTTTTTGGCCACTAGGCGATGAAGAATTAACTGTACCAGGCGGCAGCAGAGATGAGCTTCTACTTCGCGACGATGAAATGCTCTAGAACAAGCCATGCGATGCTGATATTAGTACCTTTACACAAGTAAATAATTTACAGTTCAGACTACAGATTTGCACTGTTCTACTTTCATCACAAACCTAAATCTGAAGGTGTACCTGTGCTCAGCTCAGGACTGACTTATCCCTTCTGAACCACCTGCACTGCTCAGCAGGGATCTTCTTGGAAACATTGTAGCTATCGCCTTTGTCTCTTGGATTGTTTGAAATTGTGCTTCATAAAAATCTTCACAAACTCTTACATATTAAGGTGCTAAGTTCCTATAATCATAGTTCTTAGGAAAGATTAGGAAGGATTTTGCAGACAGAGTAATAAAAACGCCAACACATATTTTTTATTAAGCCATTGACCTGTAATTCACCAAGCTGGTGCTAACAGCATGGAAAAAAAAAGTCTTCCTGCTTTCACCTGATGAACTTCTCAAACAGTGCAGTGCTGTTTTCAACATTACAGGAGTTGCAATTTTGGCAAGGGCAATCCACACATCAATTAAACACTAACGTTTAAAACAAAACATGGCTTAAACAGTCAACACATTTTGAAGTAAGCTGAGGATAAACCCTAAATACAAAAGGGGCCAGAAATAAATCTCCAACAGTATCTGCAGTGTGAATACTTTTAACATATAACCTATAAAATCAGTCTGAACATTCAAAAACTTTCTCTGTTCTCATCTAACTGTTTGCCAGCATTGCCACCTCGATCTGTTTTCTGCAGCCTTCAAACCCAAATTTTCCTGGAGGTCTTTAGGACAGCAATTCTCAATCAAGCTCAGGTGTGTACTAGAGCACCATGGGACGCAATATATAAAACTGCAATATAAAAAAGCTTTTCCCTTCTATTTGAACTGCTGATTGCATCTGTAAGGTTAAAACTGGATCAGAATAACTCTTACCTCATGAAACAAAAACCACTCCAGAGAGTGACATTTAGTAGCACTTAAAGAAAGTGAGGTAAATATACAGCCCTATGGGTGAAACATCATTTCACCTCTCCTACAAGCCCTGCACAAGTAATGATGACAGCCTTCCACATTGCTAAGACAGCTACCATCAATGAGGGGTACTACTCTGAGCCTGTTGGCAAGCGCACAAAAATACTACTTGGGTACAATCTCTCTCCTTATCCTTTAAAGGTCAAATTTTGCAATTCTGCAGTGATTCCACTAAAATACTTTAAATCCAAGGTGAACAGGTTCCAACTAGCACTGGAATTGAAGTCAGGCATCGTGTTACCACTACACTGACTGTAAATGACAAGGCAGATTATCTGGCACTGTCAAGAAAGAAGAGTAAAATAAGTTACATGATTCCTCTGCCACCCCCACAGAGAACTAGACTTTAGACTTTTTGAGGGATTTGAAAGTTTAAAAAAATGAGTTATCGCATTCCCAGCACGCAAAAAGCTGCTATACGCAGAGAAATTAAGCATTATTCCATTGATCTAGACTTGCATTTACAAATATTTCCAAGAATGATAGTCAGACTGTTTTTTGCAATGAACATATTCTTTACTACTATGACTAATAAGATTATAATAATAAGCATCTGTAGAATCAAACATTCAAAAACTACTCATCCTGGCCAATAATTCACAATTGCATTAAAACTGGATTTGACTCCAAGGGAAAAAAAAAAAAAAGCAGCACGGGTAGAATTTCTCAGAAGGTTGCTAGGTTTTCAATTCATCTTCCATTTGGAAGAGCATCACTTAGACATAACTACGACTAAAATAAAAGCCGCAGGAAAAGGTATTTGGGAGAAGGAAGGAGATGAGGAAAACTGGGTGTGATTGAATTTCCTTTTTTAAATAGAAGATTCAAAGAAAAAGGCTATCCCTAGTATATAAGAGCAGAATACACTTACTGATGTTTCTTTTTTAAACTGACTAGCATCAGAATACTTCTAAACTAAATTTAGGGCACAAAGGAAGAACAAAGTATGTTCACTTTTTCCCCAGCATAAGATCAACTTATCTTTCAGTTCAATAAAAGTTATTTTGTTTTTAGAATTAAATCTTCTGAGAATCACTGACATTCTAGTACCATGAGATCACAGTACTAAAAACACACGACTGCTACCTTCATATAGCTAGACTGATCCTAAAACTCAGATAAACAGCAGCAATGTAAAACAGCGAGTTTAGGTATTACTTTTGCTTGAAAGAAAACAACATTTTGAGAGAAGTGGTTTTATTATGTTTTGATTTTCTGCAGGGCGAGGGGAGGAGGGGAGAGTTACAGATCTGCGAATAACAAAAATAACATAAAACAAATATGGAAAAATCCATGCACTACTTCTGTTTAAATACAGAATCAGGAAGGAATGCTAGGAGAGAGTTAGCTTTCAGAAAAAAGAGCTGCCAAAATCTCATTCAACCTGCACACTTTGAGAGATATGTTCATAAATTAAAACGCGCATATATTCTAAGTTAATATCTCCATCATTGATATTATTTGGCAATTCAATGCTATTTTCCCTCAAGACAATGTTTCAAACTGCAGTGACCTACCTGCAGCTGATCCATGGATCACAACAGACACCTTGACTGCAGCTCACACCTCACATTTTCTCTCAGCTTGTCACCTAACACAATACGCCTTTCACCAAACCTCACTTACACTCAGGAGTCATAAATTTTATAGTGAACTATTAGTACAAAAGCTGTTAGCTAGCTGCATTTTTTTTAATCGGCTTTGTGTCACAAATAAGTAGTGAACACATTTCCAAGAAACAGATAAATCCATTATTTTAGAAGTCTCTTAACCCAGATTAGATTTTTTCCTGCAAAATTTGCTCTAGCTCATATCACAATTCACTAGGCAACATCAACTACACTCCCAAGATGTGACTTGAGGCAGAATAAACAGTCCGTGGGACCACAGTGTATTTAACATGGCTTTTCATTAAGTTTTGTGAAGGTATGTGGCAGCTCACAGCAACCGTTGTTGATGAACAGTCATTTAGGGCATGGAGTTTGGAAACAGTGGAGCGGGAGCCAAAAAAATAAATCAGGAAGAACAGCCCATCTATAGTTTCAGTAGTGGGTGGTGCTCAAGAAGGCTGTCCTGCTACAAGGACATTAGGTAATCCCCAATCTCTACATACATAAACTCACAGCCTGGCAAGGGCTGACTATACCACACTGCCTGGTGTGCCTGATGTTCAGCTTCACGCCTTACCCTGCAACAGTGCTGTGCGATCTCTAGAGCAAGATCATCTCTGCCGGTGAGCCTCTCCTAGAGTCCTCTCCTCTCAGCACAAGATAGTTTATCAATCCTATACAGCTCAACAAGTCAGGAAGATTGGCAATCTTGAATTAGCGCATATAGCCACGGTCTCTGCCAAATATCATTTTCAAATACATTGGTTTCAATGGTTCCTACAGGTCTGCAAGCAAGGTTTCCTCACTTCTTCACTTTCTGTCCCTTTATAACCTTTATCCATCTAGTCACCCAATGTTTCTGACCAGTGTGCCAGAAATCTCCACCAACCCAACCCTCTAGCATCTAATTTGAGATTATTCTGTAGAGGACATAATCCTAAATGAGCTCAGCACCAGGACCTCTGGCTACTCATGAAGCTATCCCTAGGCAAGATCCCATGATAAATGTGAAAAATTCCAAATTAAACTTGCAAGAGCAGTCATACGCAAAATGTGGGTCAATGTCTGGCAGGAGGCAGTTTCTACAATCACTCAAAACCTTTTGAAGTGAGGCTCCGCTCCTCAATGCCACAAAGAACAGCAGCAGAGCACTGTGCCTGCTCCCTTCAAGAAGACAGAGGCGGCAGCTAATTTCTTCTGACAGTTTCTTCCTGCCACTGCCAGAAGAGGCCTCTCCAAGAACTACACACTCAGCCTCTTATACACTTTTGAATTTTACAACACATTGTCAACACCTATGTTCCAGCCAAATACTTGCCTCCTCTTCTGCAGAATTTCTTCAAACACGGGAAATGACAAGTAACTCTTTTGCATTGGTACACAGCTGTGCAAAAGTCAAAATCTCCCAATTTTGTTAAAATGTTAAAACCTATGTGATGTTTTCGACAGCTAAAAGCACTCTAATTACACATCATACTACAACAGTCATGAAAGTCATTCTCCCAGGAAATCAAAGCAATGACAGTAACTGATGGATCTTTATTCCTAATCCCCTGCTCCTTCCCTTAGCGCTGATGGTATGATTGATCTGCCCCTCTATTATCATATCTCACTTTCTTTGGTCTTACTGCTTTCCAGTTTGCAAATAAATAAATAAAAAGATAGTGAAAAGTCTGATGAAAGAAAGATACAAGCTCTTCAACAATTAGTAATGCATGGTGCCAACGAGTCAAGAATTCCACAGGCTGAATGAAGGATTCCAAAAGGATTACAAATATTCTTTCCTAAGGCTACACTTTACCATTGCTCCAACAGTTTGCCTAAGAAAATGCAATAAAAAAAAAATAAAGCTAATAAAAGATCAATTTGTTAACTTGTGTTCATCTTTGTTTTATGACCTAAAGCTAGCTAAAGTATGCTCAGCTAACATAGATGTGGGTTAAGATTTTTATTTTAGTAGATTGTCCACCTCCAAGATAAAAAAAAAAACCACACCAGTATAACAGCTTCCATTTGGATATCAAAAATCCTAGCAATTGAAATAATGTAATTGTAGAACAGTAAGTTCCAACTATACTAATGTTTTCATGACTCATTTTCCCTGGAGATTGCCCTTCTTGCTCACAAAGAAGCTGAAATGTTTTTCACCATTTACCAGAAGCAGTTTTATTTATTTTGGAAAGTAAATGCAATGTTCCAAAGATCAATAAACTAATTTCTGAAGTGAATTGTTGTATCTGTTCATGGCTGATAATCACAATTTTCACAGGCACTGTGCTACAGATGTTTTCTACAGAATAGTAGATATTGAAATGACATTCCTCTACTCCTCTGCATACATATAGCACAGAACCAATCCCTGCATGCAGCCTTAAAG